GACATTGTTAATAGGCCTAATAAAACTAATGGGCTGACAAGAAACGGGCTTGAACTAATGGACTGACATTATTAATAGGCCTAATAAAACTAATGGGCTGACATGGTTAATAGGGCCTAAAAATTAATGGGCTGACAAGGAGCGGGCTTAAATAATGGGCTCTTGTGAATTGGGCCCAATAAAACTAATGGGCTGAGAAAAAACAGGTTTAAACTAATTATTACGAGACGAAAAAAAAAACCTTTTTTTTTTTTAAAAAAAAAAAAAATCAAACTTAAAAATACCATTTGGTTTTGAAGTACTCATAAAGTTGTAAAATCAAATAGAGAGGTACATAGTAAGGTTGAAATTTGGGGCTCTCTTGAATAAAGATAAAGCGTAAAAGGCCAAACAACAACATTTCCATATATCGATAGTTTGAGTTAGGTTTGTGTCGGAGCGGCTATTCTCGTCTCTCTCTAAGCCATCTTTTCTTTTTATCATTTTCACCTCCAAAAAAAAACATTATTATTACCCCCAAAATACAATTTTCAAATTCAAGACCTTTATTTGTTTTTTCAAGGAGAGGAAAAAGAAAAAGAAAAAGAAAAAGAAAAAGAAAAAAAGCAATCTTTTTGATCACGAAGAAGACGGTGAGAGCTTTTAATGCCCCATCTCTCTCTCTCTCTCTCTCTCTCTTTTCTACTTTATGCTCAGCTTTTGAATTAATGCACCATCTGCCCACCTTCTCCATAAACCAAAATAACCAAAAAAATCTTAACAAAATTAACAAACCCTTGCTGCTTTCACTCCTCTTCCATTTGTTCCGTCCCAGTGCTCTCCTCTCCTCTCCTCTCCTCTCCAGGTACTTCTTCTTCCTCTTCTTCTTTCCCTTTGTCTTTTAGATTTCAACCCATTTCGCATCCTACTCATTACTCAATTCCATTTCTTTCTTTTACTTTTCTGGGAATGCTTTGTGTCTTAGTTCTCCTTCATTTTGTTTCTTCCCTTATTTGTTGATTGTTCTTATGATCTGCTCCACCGCTTTAATGCATTTTCAATTTACCCCCCTCCTCTCTTTCAATTTTGAGCTTTGTTGACTAAGAAATGGAGCCTGCTATTTATTGCCTTTGTTTGGTCCCTTCCATTTTGAAACCTCACTTTTTTCTTGCTTTACGTTCTTCAATTCATCATACCCACGTCTTATTTTTCACTTTTTTCCCCCTTTTACTTTGCTAATTCATATGCTTTCATGGTATAAGCTTCGCTAATTCTGTGTATTGTTATATCTTTTGGGGCTAAGAATTGGTAGTTCGATTATAATAATCCATTGGCAGAAAGGACAGGAGTTTTGGCTCTTGGACATGTTCTGAATTTGTATATGTTTTGTTGTATATGTGTTTGTGAACGTGTACCGAGATCTATCCATTATTTTAAGACAAAATTCTCTTGCCCATATCGTTTCTGTCAACGTGAATCTCTGATCAACGACAAAATTATGAAGCCAGCTCCCTTTTTAGTATTTTATGTTTCTACTCCACATGCTTTTTCTTTAACTAGCTCTCTTCCTCTGTTCTCAGTATCCACTGAGCTTAACTTCAAATGTTTTAACATTTGAGTCTCTGATTAACCTGAGTTCTTGACCCTTCTGCTTCACTGATTATTCTTGAGTAAATCAGAAACTTGATACCAATGTGATACGTTTGAGGTTGTCAATCAGATGTCTTCTTAATTTGTGGAGCTGAGTAAATGGGGATCTGTTTGTCTACTGGCAATCAGTGTAGCTGCAATGGGGGAACCAATGGAGAGAGGATTTCTGGATCCTGTTTGGGGATTAGAGTTTCTGGCCGGATTGAAAGAAAGAGAACATTTTCAGATCATACTTTTTCTATTCAGCATTTAAATTCTATACCGAATAGGCTTGTTTATAATGGGAAGACTCGAAATTCTTGCATTTTCACTCAGCAGGGTCGCAAGGGGATAAATCAGGATGCCATGGTTGTGTGGGAAGTAAGTTCTTCTATCTGTTCTTGTTGGATTGTTCGGTCCGGTATCATATGTATGTAGCTATTTAGTTAGATCAATGTATCGGCTTCGATATTCTGTTGTTTTACATGTTTTCTTATGAGGGGTTCAATTTCTCTAGGACTTCATATCAGATGGTGCAATTTTTTGTGGGGTATTTGATGGTCACGGCCCTCATGGTCATGTCGTTGCACGAAAGGTTAGAGATGTTCTTCCAAGAAAGCTGGAGTCATCCTGGGAGTCATCTCAGTTAAAGCATAATAGAACAGATAGAACTTCTTGTTTCCGTTGGAGTCAGAAGAATTCAGCAGATGGTGAACGACACGACATGGATGGTTCGCAGGAGGATAAATCAAGTTCTTTATGGAGAAAAGCTTTTCTCAAATCATATAAAGCCATGGATAAGGAGCTCAAATCTCATCCCAAAGTGGACTGTTTCTGCAGTGGTTGTACTGCGGTCACTTTGGTTAAGCAGGTACACGTAAATACTAACCAATTCGCAGCTTTGTTTTCGGATTTGCTCGCTGTTTCTTTCAGTAATTTTGACTTACCTACAGGGTTCCGATCTATTCGTGGGAAGTATCGGGGATTCTCGAGCAATTCTTGGATCTAAAGATAGCAGAGATTCGCCTGTAGCAACCCAATTGACAGTAGATCTAAAGCCTGATTTACCCAGTACGTCCAGTCCATTACGTTACTTTTACGAACTAATACGTGATTCTAATTTGCTTGTTTGTTCATCTTCTAGGAGAAGCTGAAAGGATAAAGAAGTGTAAAGGAAGGGTGTTTGCATTGCAAGATGAGCCAGAAGTGCCAAGAGTGTGGCTGCCATTTGACAATGCACCTGGCTTAGCCATGGCTCGAGCGTTTGGCGACTTCTGTTTGAAGGACTATGGAGTTATCTCTATTCCCGAATTTTCGCACCGCGTGCTTACAGACAACGATCTGTTTGTTGTCCTTGCTTCAGATGGGGTAACTTCCCTAATTCTCTAATTCTGCAGGCAAGCAGAAGTAAGCCTGTGTTTGAATTTCATTTCAATTGTCAATCTCCAGAATTCAAGACAGTTCCTTTGCAGGTTTGGGACGTATTGAGCAACCAAGAGGTGGTTGAGATAGTTCATTCTGCCCCAACTCGCTCATCGGCAGCTCGGATGGTGGTAGACTCGGCTGCTCGTGAATGGAAGCTCAAGTACCCTACTTCAAAAATGGACGACTGTGCAGTCGTTTGCTTATTCTTGGACGGGAAAATGGATTCAAATTCAGAAAATGAAGAACAATCTCTTGCAACTTTTCAAACTGATGAAATGGATGACACGGAAAATTCAGATGAAGAGCGGAGGTTGGAGCCAAGTTTACAGAGGAATAATACGGTCCGATCGTCGGAAGAAAAAGAGCAAATCGGAGGGCGATCTTCACAAAGCGAAGAGAACGGAGAATCAATCTGTGCTAAAGATGAGAATTGGTTAGGATTGGAGGGTGTAACAAGAGTAAACTCCCTGATTCAACTTCCTAGATTTTCTTGTCCTACGAACATAGTTGGAGAAGGTTGTAATGGCGGATGAACAACTCAATTCCGGCCATCATTTTGTATCACTACAATGCACAAAAACTTGGTTTGAGCTTCCATGGAAGAATTCAATTCATAACGTCAACTCCCTATGAACAGGGAACATTTGATCCATTTTCAATCTAATCATAAAGATGTTTGGGGTAGATGGTTTAATCATTAGCTATGGGTGTGAAAGTATGAAGCAGAAAAACAAACATGGTAAAGTCGAACACTACATGACACTTACGAGATTGATATGAGTGCTATACTTTTCTGCTTCATTAAGTCGAACACTACACGACACTTACAAGATTGATATGAGTGCTATACTTTATAAATATCTGTTTATTCTTGATAGACATCGTTATGTAGAGGCTGTCTATACTGTCTAAGTCATGGCATGTGACAGGCATGCTTGTCACACGAGTTTTTTTAGAAAGCAGCAATGAAACTAAAGTGCGTATACAATATCCAATATCAAGAAAAACAATGAGTGACTAAGATTAAAAACAATCCAAGTTGGTACTCAAAAGAGAAAGAATATACAAAAAAAATTTTTACCTTTTGAGTTCAACAAAACTTTTGTTTATTCAACCAAAGCGAGTGTGACTACAAAGACATAATGGTTAGTACCTTGTTTCACATGGCTAAAGCACACTCCCCCATGCTCACTCCTCACCCAATTCATCATGCTAGTTGCAGACTTCAGTGGTCACACCATACTCACAAGACATTCTACTCTAGATATCCACACACCAACATTTCTGGCGGTTCAAGTCCACTACGAGTAAATAATTATGGTCCTTTTTTAACATTTTCTCCTGAGCTTTCCTTCAAGATTTTAAAGTGCGTATGCTAGGGAGAGGTTTCCACGTCTCTCTCCAACTGATGTGGAAATCCACAATCCCTCCCGTTCGAAGCTCAACGTCGCACTCGTTCCTCTCTCCAATTGATGTAAGATCTCACAATCCAACCCCAATTCCTTTCGGTTGGAGAGTGGAACGAAGCACTCCTCTAAGGAAAGGCTTCCATGTTCCCCTCTCCAACCAATGTACAAATCCACAATCCACCCCGCTTTGGGGCTCAACATCGCACTCGTTCCTCTTTTCAACCGATTGTGATCTCACAATCCAACTCTGATCTCTTCAGTTGAAGAGTGGAAAGAAACACTTCTTATAAGGGTATGTAAATCTCTCCTTAGTAGACACGTTTTAAAATTATGAAGCTGACGACGGTACGTAATGAGTAACGAATGAATGCAGACAAGTGATTCACTGTTTCAATTGATATACACATCTGTCTGTTCTATAGGTTTCTTCATACATCCATAACATAGACTTCAATTACAGAAAGTGACTCAGTACATTTAACATTTGTAAGCCGTAGAAACTGCTGAGCAGTTCAAACCCTTTCTAGTCTGCTTTGAAGTGTTAACAGGGAATGCCAGACCTTGTTCCTTCACTTCAAGTTATTGTTCATATGCTCTCCCTCCATCCATGTTTTACCATTTGATTCTTCAACCTACCATTTCAAAATCCCATAAATGGAGCAATTAACTCACCGCCAAGCCTTCATCTACCACGCTCCTTCTCTGTTCCGCTTCCCTATATCTATAAGAAGAACATTCTCATTCCTGCTTCTCCATCACTAAACAAGCATTTTGCTGCATTACTCACAATATCAGATAAATGGCTAACAGAACCATTGCTTCTTTGCTTGCTACCTTCATCGTGATCCTTGCAATAGCTGGAGAAGCAGTGGCAGCTCGCAATGTTCATGAAAGGTCGAGCATTGATGATAAGAAACAACCAGAGTGGGTGGCTGGACATGATGGGGTCAGTGTGCTCATTCCTGGCATTGGGCGCTTCACACTGTCACCACATGACAAAGGCAGCTCTGGAGAAGGGCAGGCAGGCTCATATGGCAGTAACCCAGCTCCAAGACGTCAATATATTCCTGGTGGGGATGATAATTTCATTCCAAATCCTGGATTTGAGGTACCAATCCCAGCCAAGATTAGTGGTGTTAAAGAAACACCCTACCCTTGAGTCCATCTAGCAGTAATTATCAGAATAAGTCTGCAATGTTCATCAGCCAGTTGCATGGTTTCCAGTTTGATTTTAATGAAGTATGAATTATATCAGTCTCGAAGAAAATAGTGATGATGTTTGTACCAGTTCCTCTGTAAATGTATGGAAACTCGTTTATGATCTAGATCAAGATATTTGTTCGTTCAATGATTATCTCATGCATAGTGTAATAGCTTAAGTCTACTGCTAGTAGATATTGTCCGTTTTGGCCTGTTACATAGTGTCATTAGCCTCACGGTTTTAAAACGCTTCTACTAAGGAGAGACTTCCACACTCTTATAAAAAATGTTTCGTGACCCTCTCCATAGTAAACGTGTTTTAAAACTGTGAGGCTGATGATGGTACGTAACGAGCCAAGATGAACAATATTTGCTTTGTTGTGGACTTGGATTGTTATAAATGGTATCCAAGCTATACATCAAGCGGTGTGTCAACGAGAATGTTGGGCCTCAAGAAGATGAATTATAAGATCCTACTTTGATTGGAGGAGAACGAAACATTTGTTATAAGAGCGTGGAAACCTTTTCCTAGTAGAAATATTTTAAAATCGCGAAGTCTTGGCCAAATCAACTGAGGGAGTCGACCAATTAGGCTATTTACAAGAGCCTTGAGAAATCAACCAAAAGGGTCGGGTATGATGAGTTGATTTGGCCTTCTACGATCTCGTCACGACTAATTGCCCCTTATGATAACCCACTTTCATTGTGCCACTTACATTCAACCTTATGGTTAAATTCTACCTCTAGCAATGCCATATATGACTCAATGATTTTTACTCATGACATTGAGAATTTAGGATAAAAAAATATAACACAAAATAATATCACAAATTTAAGGAAAAAATTTACCGTGTTTTTTTTAAAAAACTAAAAAGGAAAAATTATGGCAGCGAAGAAACGACGTCGTATTGTAGGAAAGGAAAGTTGGCGCATAAATGGAAAAGCTTGAAAAACCTCAGGTATGGGCTGTTTCTCCAGAGTCCACTAGGGTTTAAGAAACCAGCTCTCCGCCTTCAAATCCACAGCCACCGCTATTTACAGTTCTGCCGCTGCCCGTCTTTTTCTTCTTCTTAAAGCTATGTTTACGCTTCTTCTCTCTGAATCAAGCCCCAATTTTGTAGCTCTGCAATGGTAGAGCTTTCATCCAACTCCACCACTGCGTCTGCGCCTGACGGCCTCCTTCACGCTTCTTCTAAGCTTAAGAACTCGGAGCCGCTTCCGCTTGACTCTTTTGATTCCAAGCCCGTCGATTACTCCTTTGCCGATTCCTTCCTTGATTACGATTCCTTAAACGACTGGATTGACGAATTTACATCTCCTGTTATGGCTGATGCACAAACGATTCTTCCTGAAGCAGAATCCCATGTGAATCAACCAGTCGAAAAGTCTGTTCCAATTGTTGGTGAAATTCAGCCGATTGCGCAAGCGGGTGGCGAGGCTTGTGCTAAGTCTACGGATTTGAATTGCATCATTGAAGAAGGGATGTCGAAGGTTAGTTTGGTTATTGATGGAGGAAGCACTGGAAACATTGAGTCGGATTCTCGAGAGGATGATGATGAAAGTGACGCTGAATCCGAGGGCACAAGTTCAGCTTCAACGTCTAGTGATAGTAGTAGCTCTAGCGGAAGCAGCGATGATGGAAAAGATGACGATGAAGAAAGTTCATCGTCTTCAAGTAGCGGCGACAGCAGCTGCCATGATGATGTAGAGACGAAGGAGAACTCTGTAAAAGCGGATGTACACACAGAAATCGGTGAACTTGAAGAAGGTGAGATAAGTGACGCTGACAATGAAGACAAGGAGGCTTCTGCAGATGACATGGTTGCGTGGGATGGTGATGGTGAGGAACTAGACGAAGAAGAAGAGGCTGGACCTGAGGGAGGCCCGATTAGTTCTAAAAACGAGCTTAAGGTCAGTTTTCTTTGTTCATCCTTAAGCTTGCAAATAGTTTTGGAGACACATGGCTGATGTTGCTTGGGGTAATTGATCAATAATGGGTTCATTATTTCTTATTGGCTTCCTTGTAGGTTCTTCCTCCAGTTCCTCAGGTTCATGCAACGCTGCAGCCACACCACCAGATGGTTCCTGTTGGAGTTGTTTTATCGGTAAGTTCCTTAATTTGAATAGAATTATACATCAAAGAGTACTCCAATTCTATCAACGTCTGCCCATTACATGGTTTCCCTGCTTGTGAAGTTGGATTGTGAATTGTGATGAACTTTATGTTCTATTTCTTCGTTTCAGATAATTGGCAGTCAAGTCATTGTAGAGGGTGTTGAGAAGCACAATCCTCTAAATGAAGGCTCTATCCTGTGGCTAACTGTAGCTAGATCCCCATTGGGGTTGGTAGACGAGATCTTTGGACCAGTAAAAAATCCTTATTATTCAGTAAGATACAATTCTGAAAGTGAAGTCCCTACTGGAATAAGTAGTGGCACTCACGTCTCCTTTGTTCTGGAGTTTGCCGATTATGTGCTCAACAACAAAGACCTGTACAAGAAGGGGTATGATGCATCTGGAGCGAACGATGAAGAGGTGTCCGACAACGAGTTTTCAGATGATGAGAAAGAGCTGGAGTTCAAGAAGATGCAAAAGCTGGCTAAGAGGGGTATGAATGACAACCAACAGATTAATGAGAACAGAAATAATGCTAGGAAGAAGAAAAACAATGCTAAAGCCAGGAAATTTGGTCAGCGTACATTTGAGACACCGCAGGAACATGACAAGTCCAGGAATTACGGCCAGGCCATACCCCAGCAAGCAACAGTTCCTGAAGGCAGCAAGTTTGATCATTCAGCACCTCAACAAGTAAAGATGGATATGGCTCAGTCATTCTCCAATCAGAATCAGCACACTGGCCCTCCTTTGGCGCCGTTTGTATATCACGGTGGTTATCCAAACCCTTCAGCTTCTGAACAACGTTTTATCAATGGACCTGGTGTTATGCCATCATTTCCTCCAGCGTACAACCCCTGCTTTCCCCCAGCAATGAACGGAATTAGGCCAGCAGAAATGCCATTTCAGTTTCAGCAGCAGCAGCAGCAGCAGCAGAATCTATTATTTCCCAACGGTCTTCCAATGAATGGCATGCCCTGGCTATTACAGAATCCGGTACAGCAAGTGCCTCAGCCTCAAATGCCTATGATGAATACATTTGCTGGAGCTCCATATCCGCCGGGGTTTGTAGGTACATCATCCACCCTACCTAATCCCCTCACAGCCGTAGGGGCACAAGGAATCCATTCCGGTGGAGTACAGTTTGGACAGAATCAAAACATGCACCCTCCAACACAGCAATTCAGTCGTTCAAACCCGCACCCACCTGTACCATTCCAAGGAAGTGTAGCACCAGAGCAATTCAACCAAGGCTCATCTTCGAACCGGGGAAGGAAATTGTATGGTCGAGGTGGACCTCATTTTAGAGGTAGAAGAGGAGGTGGGCGTCAACCAAGATGAACCTTAAGTTGTTTCATATAGGTTGGCTTCACATCTGCAAGTACTACATTTTGATTTTCTCTATTTTGTAAAACCCTCCACCGTTCCAGGTTGGATGAGAATTATGAAGTATGTATTTCAATCGCTTTTAAAGAGGTCTCTTTCTCTTCTTAATCACACTTCCTGGCTCCATTTCTGCATATTACTTGAACAAAGATACTGCAAGAAATTACAGAAACGATTTTCCTTAAAGCTACGTAGTTCTGCAAATGATTGGACTGAAAATTTTGGAATCAATAATAGGTAAATCCGTTGAATGCCAGACATAATTCTGGGCGGTATTCAAAGTTTAAATAAATCCTAGGGAACATCCAGGATAGGAAAAGAAAATGTGAGTGAGAAAAGCCTCAAGCTTTTGCATTTCTTGTGAAGTCAATGCAGGTCTGGCAGCTGCAATCTGAGAATCGGCATGTCTCACACCCGAAGCACACACACGAAGTACACCCCTTACAAGTCGGCGAACGAGTGCAGCCTCTATAAACCTTGCGACTTGCTCGTTCTTCATCGTCATCACATGTTATTCTAAGCAACAGAACAGTATAGTTAGGGTACATGTATACGGCTATAACATCAAAATCTTAAACAAAAACCACAAATTGTGCAACAAGTTCATATATTCATGCAACAGGCTAGGTGTTTTGATTTGCAGTGAAGTCCATTCATTCTGGAATAAGCATATGCAAGAAACATATCTTCTTAAGTGAGTATCCGACCAGTAACAGAAAAGGGAAGTGGCAGCTGAATACCGCCCGACTCAAAACTCAAGGAAAAGATAAGCTAGTCTAATATATTCACCTGCACATAAAATATAAATCGACCTTACATTGATATTCCAAGCCCATCGCTAGTATATATTGTCCTTTTTGAACTTTCCCTTCCAGGCTTTCCCTCAAGATTTAAAAATCTGTCTACTAGGGAGAGGTTTCCACGGTCTTATAAAAAATGTTTCGTTCCACTCTCTAACCGATGTGGGATCCCACGGTCCCACATCGATTGGAGAGGAGAACGAGGGCCAGCGAGGATGCTGGGCCCCGAAGGGGGGTGGATTGTGATATCTCACATCGGTTGGAGAGGGGATGAAACATTCTTTATAAAAGTGTGTGGAAACCTCTCCCTCGCACACGTGTTTTAAAACCTTGAGGGGAAACTTGGAAGAGAAAGCCCAAAAAAGACAATTTCTGCTTGCGGTAGATTTGGGCTGTTACAACTAATGTCGCTAAATAACCAGTCGTTCTCAGTTTTGCTCCCAAAGACCATACATAGTTAAGAAATTCCTACTTTGCTGTAGCTACGACTTTCGATTCATATCTGATACGTCACCTTTCATTAGAAGGTAGACCTCTCATTTTAAAGTAAAAGAATTAAGGATCAAATCTCATCACTTGTAAGGTCCTAAACTACGTCAAGATTCAAAGTCCAAAGGAATGCTATCATTATAAGAACAGTTTTGATAACTCGACTCGA